GTACACGAAGCGGCACTCGGGGAATTGACGAAGTACCTAGAAGAGCAACGTTCAGTAGATGTCATAGAAACGGACTGTGCTATTATATGCAAGGGTTAGGCTTGAGGATGGATGCTCATACATCCCAAGCGGGAAACAAAGGCGGTGATGCGGTGAGCCTGAGCCAAGTCAGCATGCGACAAACGCTTATCGACTAATGAACATACATCAGAATCTCGTAAGCAGCGTATTTCTTAAGCTTCCCAGCTCCGCGACGATAAGCATACAGAACCTCAGGTCGAGCTGTCCTGATGTTCTTCCGGCCAAGCAGCTTATGCATCGCAGGACTCGTGAGATACATGGGATCAAAGACGACCAGATTGCAGGAGCCGTCAAAGCGGCGCTCAAAACCGACAATGCTGATTGAGTGTCCTGGTTGCTGAAGGTAGATAGGCGGCAGAAGAGTCTTGGAGACATTGGATCCGTCGCTGGCAGCCGCTCGCGCAAAATATCGTTCCATGGCGGCGAGGAGAAGCTCGTGGGCCGCGATGGCGCGATCTTTGTTGTCGCTGAACTGCTCTACAGCGCAGTTGATTTCCGAATTGAGGAAAAAGGCTTGAGCCTGATACATGTTAGTAGATAACAGTTGAAGGTAAGTAAGATGTCACCTCTGGTGTGCCAATGTACTTTCTGGTATCACGTATACCACCAGTCTGGACACGGCCGATTGAATTGATGCCTTTATCCCAAGCATCTTCAATGTGATCTTGCATCTTCAGAATAGTCGGCAGCCGTCCTGGGAATTCTTCGTAGCCTTGAGCCTTGGCGCCTTGGATGTAGGACAGCAGCATTTGTATGTTCCGGTAACCGCAAAAGCCGCCTTCGCTTGGGGTTTTACCGACGTGGAGTGTCGATGGATGACAGTAATATGCTTCCTTCACGGTCCGATCAAGAGCAGATAGTTGCGCAAGGATGGGAATGATGCCTGGCGTCTCGTTCTGCACCTGATCATGCTTGATGAGGCGGCCATCTCGGCCGATGCGGTTGACGGCAGTGATCTTGGGGCCGGCATCCAGCTGATCGTGCAGCCACCTAGGCATTCGATTCTCCCAAGCGTAGGGTCCCAATTCGGATTTCTGCGGAGATTAGCTAGGCCCTGCTAAAAGGAAGATTAACTTACACCTAGCCGAGCACTTTTGATCGGTGGCTTGACGGACTTGTCGGGTTTCGCAAAAGGATTGAAGCCTAGAATACTCCTTCCGATGGTACTCTTCTCGCTCTCATCGGTGTCGCGCCGATGCCGATGTGGGTGCTTCTTCGATTTGCGACCGTGAGCATCAGTCCTCTTCAAAGCATCTGACAAGTCTGTGCTGAAACTTCGCTCGGATGTTGTTTTCCTTGCCTGACTCGCATGGGAACGACGAGATGAGGTCGAGCCTTGCATAGTAGCGGATGAATGATGAGAATGATACTTTCCGGTAGTCTCGTCAAATGATAAAGTTTCTGCGTTGTGGTATTCGAGATGGTCGTTGAAGTCGGAGAGAGGAACGACTTCGCCGCAGTTGGGGTCAGGGCACACTGTAGTGCTTTCCTCCTCTTCCGAGTCGTCGGAGGAAGGCGTGGCCTCAGTGTCGTGGCGGAGCGAGGAAGGCCTGAGGGGCAACGAAGGTGGCAACGGTTCTGGGTCGTCTTCTATCACGAAAGGAGAGTTCTCGGTATGCACTTGCTCAAAGTGTAGTTGGAGAATGTAGTCATCTTTCTGAAGCACGGTGAAGTCACACATGGGACACTCCAGAAGCTCCATCTTGCTCGTCATCGCTGTGCAGGTGATATCCTGCGTGTGAAGGCGTCCAGCACTTTCCTGCCCCAGGGATGTGTGGTGAGTGACAATTTGGGGCGACTTGTTGTTCACGTGTATGGAAACCGTCACCTCGTGCGTATACGGCTGACTATGTTGTGGCAGTCGCTGTGGGCTTCCGTGGCTTAGCATGACGAACGCGGTTCAGACGCAGACGAAACAGCAACCGACGAGTTTGGTAGACTGCACACATACTGGAGACTCGCTTATGAGGTAAAGGCGTTGTTTGCAAGGAAACGATGGCGTTGGCGGTGAAGATGAAGCCGGGGTGGACGTGAAGAAGGTGCGACGCTCGTGGATAGCCGAAAGAGGAACACAAACAAACACGCCAAGACGCGTGACGCGATGTCAGTTGCAAGCTTAACTTAGGATGCGAGTTCAATGCAAGCTACGTCTATGGCATATTGGTGTGAAGATGATGCGTGTGGCTAACAAGTGGGTCGCGGCGAGGCGGTCAGCCGCGCATGACATTGGCGGTTGGATTGGCATGGCTGCTGAATCTTCACAGCTTTCCAAGCGCATAGTATATGAAGACTGGTACATGTCGGAGGTTAGCAGTGGCGGTTATAGGTGAAGTGTCAAGCTACGTGCAAGTGATGGGCATTCAAACGGTCAAGTCGCCTACGTCATTAAACCGCCAAGACTTCAAGGATAGCATCTGCGGCGGGTCTTGCGATGTCCGCAGACCTTCTTCCCAATGCTGCTCCGGACCCCGCGCGCACGTCGGATTGCCTGGGACAACGCGAATCGCACGCAATGGCGAAGAATACCGCTGCGATGCTATTCTTCAGCCAATTCGGAGGATCCGCCATGGTTCCAAGAGCTGCGCACCGAAATGTTGCAGCGAGATGCCATACACCTTCCTGAGTTCATCGCCACTCCGCACGAATTCAAGCTATCGCAAAGCATCACGGGTTTCTTACCTCAAGAATGGTGCTATGCCCCCGGTGTTCGTAGTCGCATGGTGCCGTTTGGCCATCACTTGATATGGTTCAATCCCGCAGTGCGGACAACCGAATTACTCCCAGATGGAACAGACGCGTCGCAGAGCCCAGGCGGGCCGTGGGTGCGGCGTATGTGGGCTGGCGGCTCGATACAAGTAAGACCCGACGAGTATTACGACCGTAACCGCGGCTTTAGAGTCGAATTTCCAATGTCTGGGACGGAGCACATAAAGCATGTCCGACTGCACGGAGAAGGCGACACTGCCAAGATCTTTGTCACGATCGAGCGGCGTTTTGCACGGGTGGACATCATAGGGAGAGCGTACAACGCGAAGCATGGCAAATTGGGAAAGAATGGAGGTAAAAAACTAAAGACTTATCTCGAGCAGCAGTTGCGAGACGGCGACGACTGGGGCGACGCCATCGTGAAGGAGGAGCGTAACCTGGTCTTTTTCAAGGAGCGCCCCGCTGCCGAATTGGAGGCAGTCAAGGCCGGGCAGATGGCCACCGTGAAGTACCTGCAGCGTGCGTACTCTGACAACCCTCTTGACTATCTACTGACTCTATGTAGCCCCTGGGAAGCCAGACTTCTCCCACGCCCTCACTCCCGACCGCGCCCTTCTTTTCCGCTTCTCTGCTCTTACCTTCAATGCCCATCGCATACACCTCGATCCCGACTACGCTCGTAACGTCGAAGGCCACCGCAACCTGCTAGTTCACGGTCCTCTTTCCCTGCTCCTCATGTTGAAAACCATAAGCCATTACGTGTATGCACAAACCGGGGGAAAGCATGATCTGGAGTCGATCGAATATCGCAATTTAGCGCCGCTGTACTGCGACGAGGAGATGCGCATATGCGGCTTGGAGAAGAAGAAATTGCAACATGGCAGTATATACGATGTATGGATTGAGGGGCCGACTGGAGGTGTTGCTGTCAAGGGCACTGTTTACACCACAGTAAAGAATACTAAGCCGAAACCGCTGGGACCCGGCTCTAGGAGGCCAGACATTACAGCACTCAATGCTGCCGCCAAGAAGACACCAAAAGCGCAAGAGCCTACCACGACTCCTGAGTCCTCGACGGGTTCTGAGCCTGTATCTCAGCCCCAAGGTGAGACTCCAAACAACTCCACTCCCAGTGAAACTACCTCTCAACCATCATCTAGAGAAGTAAACCCACCGACCGCACAAACAACAAGCCGAGCGCCCCGTCGAAAGCGCGCCTCCAACACCACGGCCTACAACTTCATTTCCCTCCCTCCCAGCAAAGCACCGTCTGCTCGCATCGTCGACTCGTACAAGCCAGTAAAACCGACGATATCGATACGTTCGAGGGAAATCATTCGACGCGCTCGTCGGCGTGCCCCGAAGGAGATTCACGTCAAGCCTATACCGCTCGTTCGCAGGTTCGATGCGACACCGTACACCCCAGACCCTATTCGCACGGCTTCGAGACATAGCAAATATTTGAGGGAGGGCGCTAGGAAGATCGAGAAGCCTAGTGTGCGCTTTGTTGCGGAGCAGCTGTCGGAGCGTGCGGCGCTGAGGAAGAGGATTGGCTTCAGATATGTACATCATTGAGGTCTTCGCTCGATGATGTGTCGCAACCACTGTATCATCGATCACTGGGTTGCATTGTATGTCACTTTGTATATAACCAAATTCGATCTCAAGTTCCAAGCTCTTGTTGGCCCATTCTGCTTTTGCATCATTGTGTTACAAGGCGGGTCCCAGTCGGATCCGGCTTTACACTCGCTAGTCGGTGAGCTAATGTTACGCATGCAGCTTTTCCTCAGAACCCCGACGGAAGAAGAGGTTTGACCACGTCTTTTCCTTTAGAAAGCAAACGGAATGTATTACATGTCACCTAGTCACGCAACGTTCTTCTAGAAGTATGTATGATACATAGACGCGTGGTCTAGATAGGCATCCAGACACTTTCATTCCCTCTTAACATGAGCATGATGTCATGCTGTGCTCGCCATGCGATTATACACCAAATTAAATTTTGAACGCCGATTCCATGGGTATAGTGCTCCAACAGCTATGTGCCAAATTTAAGAAAGTAAAAAAGAGTATGTACAACGGATAGCGTGTAGGCGTGGGTATCGTGACGCGTGCTGAATTGTTGGAAGGCATCATTGAATGCGGGTATGCCGGTCAATCACAGGCGCGTTGAGCAGAAACACGCATTCGACTCCGATGAAACATCCTGCTGATCAACCTCTTCTAGTCCAGTCATCTGAATTGGAGATCGACGAGCGTTTCGATGCCCGTGAGGGCATCCGAGATGGAGTACCGGTTGGTGAAAGCAGGGAGTCGCCTCCCTTGTTAAAGGTATTGAACAGACCAGCGAGCTCTTCGTAGTCGTACCGCATGGGTGGATCAACAGAGTTGTGGTTGTCAGCAAAAACCTCAATGCTACCCGTTAAGAGCTTTTCGACGTTCGCTCGCCACGAGCAGTGATCGATGATGTCCTTCAATCCGTTCTTGGCGCACAAATGGTCGTCTAACCACTGTAGACGAATCTTCTCCGGCAGTCCATCGTCAAATCGAATGAACTGAATGCTGAAGTGACGGCTACCTCCGGGTCGTTGTTCCAATCGCGCGATATCGAGGATGATCTTATCAAAGGTAGCGGTTTTCTCATTTGACCAGACGCCGTCAGTCAGTACGAGAAGTGTTGTAGCTGGTTTGCCGGCTTGCTTCCATTCTTCAGAGATGGTTTGGAAAATCCGCGCCATGTCTGTAGTGGCGTTATCGTTCGGTTTCTGTTCTGGCCACGCTGCCTTCAAGGCTTTCTTCAGCTTCTTCCGACCCCAATCTCCTTTTAGGCGCTGCTGGTCATGGGTGCGACCATCAACCGTGAACTTGACGTCGAATCCATCCCTATCTAGGCCAGCGGCGTTCATTGCGAGCGTTTGTGCGACGAACGTCACGATCGGCCAGTGCTTGCACATTGTCCACCCGTTATCGATAACTAAAATCTGCAATATGTTAGCTGAGTTTACAGAAGGTCTGCAATTAGCTTACAAGCTCACGCGGGTCAATGAACGTGTCTTTAATGCTAGCATCTCGCGATCTGGTTTCAAGGCCCAATGTACCCTTCAATTTTGCAAGGCCTTTTGCGACCCCCTTCGAGACCTGCTCTTCCATAGCCTTTCTTTTCAAGCAAATGTCGTAGGGCAATTCCAGTGCAGACAGAGGAAGTGGAAAAGCAGAAGTTTCGTAAGGGGTCGAAGACGTGAGGTTGTGCAGAGCTTCCTTCTCGGGAAAGTGAGTGGATGAGCTGGGTGTCACCGGTTGGTAGTGTGAGAATTGAGCACCTCCGGTTGGCGAAACTATTATTGACGGGCCAGAGTTGCCAAAAGTCTCAATTGGACCCGAGGCCCCAACTCTGAGCTCTTCTACGAGTTTGTCGTCAAAGGAAGGATTTGTGGGAATCGTATTGAATACGGCAGGGGCGTCTCCTTTGTGACTCCGGCGATTCACGGCGTTGTCCATGGATGAGGTAGCGTTGTGGTTGATATTACGTTCACGAGCAAAATTGATGGGTGTGAGTGGAGGAGACCCTGTTGGATATGTCTCTTTATCGGCCATGGGATTGTTGCAGTACTTCGGGGAGGGCGAATCTGCTTGTGGGATATGCAGATTGAGTCTTCCCGAGTTACCGCTGCCAGGTACATCGACCTCGAAAAGATCGCTGTGTGACTTTGTTGTGAAGGAATCATCGCTATGAGGCCCAGTGCCAGGACCGGGTACTTTGTTCCGGCGACGAGACGATGATGGCGGTGTCGCGGGGCCCTCGGTTTGCCGAGACGTATGTACGCCATTCGGTGTCTGGGGCTCTAGATCTGACAGTCTTTGGGCATATGCTTTAAACTGCGGATTTCTGGGCCTAATCTGGCGACCACCAAATTGTAGTTCCTTTGAGAGAGTAGAATCAATGGGACTTTCTGTGACAGCACCGTTGTGCACAGCGTTCATGAGTAGCGGCTCGCTAATCACCTCTTGGTTGTGACAATCTCCGAGCTTTTCCTCTAGGATTTGCATGCGATGCGCTGTCTGACCGAGTGGCTTGTTTCTGATCATCTCTTCCATTTTTACCTGCATTGACGCCCGCTCTCGAGGGTTTACTTGCGCCAGCGGTGGTTGTAGGGGATTGTTCTTCGGCTCAGAGGTCCTCTGTATCTGAGCTTCTTCCTCTATGCTCGAAAGAGCACGCATGACTAAGGAATCTGTGTCTTTGGAGCGTCGTGGAAGCTTTTGGATCTTATGTTGAGCCCAATCGCTCAGTTCTTGCAGCTCCACGCAGAGCTCCTCTAAACTGGATCGTGTCGCTGGATTTGCTCGCAGTAGCTTGCTCTCTATTATACCTAGAACCTTCTCCGTTGTCGTATCTGAGAGCCGAAGATGTCCACGAAGGTAATTGTGCCACTTTTCAATCTCCGGCAGGACACTTTCGCCGTCATGGAACCGGTCCGATCTCTGCCCGTTCTTGTTGTTCGCTGGGGATAGTCGTCGAAGTCGGTCGTATTGGCGAAGACCTTGGAATCCAAGGACTATCCACGTTGCAGCGACCGATAGCACACAACCGAACGACCAGGCGTCAATAGCTTGCGTCACACCGGACAAGGTTCCGTCCGGGTGCCTCATACGAGATACTTCAGGCGCACCTACGGAACGTCAGTCTTGCGCTAGGTATGCTGGCTGCCTTGAAAACTTACCATATGTGTCAGTGAACCCCCTGTCAAGCTGTTAGCACGAAGATTAAGATGTCTTAGAAGCGCCTCAACCGAAGCGCAGTATAACAGATACATACTAGTAAAAAGTTAGCAAGATATCCTGTGCACTATCCGCGGCGGCTACCTTACCCTTATTAACTCTGTTGGTACAGAGTCTTCGTGCCCATCCACCACAGGCGCGAAGCTGGCGAAGCCAAAGTCAGCCAGCTTCAATCGTCCGCGCACGCTGAGAACATTGTCGGGTTTGATATCTGCGTGCCATCTTACACAAGTCAGCCGTGAAATGTCAAACATCGAGAGATGTGTACCCATGATATCTCCTTGGTCGGCCTTTACTCCGCACAACTTCGAGGTGATGAACGTGACGGATGGCGTCGGCGACTTTGAAGAGCGATTTCCAGTGTTGAAGTATCTCCTGCGCTTGTACAGGAGGGACGTTAGTCTCGTCGGCCCATGCTTGGTACAAGTCATTTTCGCCATACTCCAACAAGAGATTGTATGTTTTCCCCACATCCTCACCCTCGCCATAGTCATGAGTGTATGAGCCCAAGTATCGCAGTATAGGAACTTCGTCGCTCGACTGCAGGCCCAAGAATGCTTCCTTCTCTAGCTCGAAATCTCGCTTCCTATCACTGCCGTAGGATTTGAGCACCATCTGATAACACTGAGAGGGGTTAGCTTGTATCAGTCGCGTGCTCTCAAGAAGTCTGACCTGTCCAAACTCCTTGTCTACGTAAAGTGAGTCTTGCAAGGCCAGTGCAAGCGTGTTATCAGAGACAAGATCCTTTTGCACTGCCACCCAGTATATCGACGCAGTGCCTCCCTTATCTAAGAGCTTGATCTTCGAACAGAATGGGGGTATCACTTTCGTCCCATGCAGATTGACATGCATGTCCCAAGTCAGAGGCAGGGGACAGAACTTCCACTTCTCTTTGTGAAAAGCCCCCATGATATTCTCCACTTCCTTAGGGTGTACGACTGCGGCTAGCTGTTCTCGGAGGTTCTGGTCGTGTCCGCTGTGCGGGAGGTGGGCGTCGAACATGTTCGCTTCGTAAAACCGGTCGATGAGATGATCGCGTCCCTGTTCGAGAAGCAGGCTGAGGATACGGAGGCAGGATTGCCCACTTCTATATATCCTTGAAGACATGATTGGTAGACTCAGGTGATCTGGGACTAACATCTCATCCAGAAAACAGGCTAACTTCGTGTGAGGGCTCTCGGAGGCTTGCTTCTTCCACCATGCTTCGAGGGCGTGAACGTGCACAATCGTGCGTTGGCAGCTGCAAGACTCAGGCGGACGGCATTCGTTTTGGCACGCTACTTGACGTGTCCATTCTGTTTCCAACAGGTTTGTGAATTCATCCCTGATGGGCAGAGATGGACTCTGCTGGTAGTTTGCGCCTGACATTTCGACGTGGTCCCAACCAAAGATCAGGCTGTGAAGGCCTTATGGGCAAAGATGCATCGCACAAGGCTGAAGTGGGGTTAGGTGCGCCGGTGCTGATTTTGCGTCCAGTGGTCGTTGCGCCGGGCTCGAATGGGTCGCGCAAAGCATGCGCGCAGTGAAGTCTGGAAGAGACCAGAGGAGATGAGAAGCACTAAGTTGAGATGGCAGAGTCTCAGTGGCACGAGCAGGGTACATATTAACTCAGACCGAGTATTACCAGCCTCGAGCAGCGGATGACAGGGACAGGCTGAGGTCGCGCCAATAGATGCTTGGAGGACCTTCGTGGCTGCAGCGAGCTGATGCTGTCCATCCGCGATCGAGGCAACAAGGCAGAGTATGTGCATAGCCACTAGCACATTGTCGCGTCGGCTGTGCGCTCGAACTTCGACAGGAGCACGTTCTTATTGGATTGCGGTATGCGCTGTCCGAAAGCTGCGCCATAGTTTGTATGAAAAAGAGGTGTTGAAGAATAGATGTGGGTATGGGAGGTTTCCCGCAGCGCTGAACGCATGTTCGCTAAGCCCCACCGACCCCACCTTCCGTGCCTGCCTGCCCCCGACGGCGTCTGCCCGCCGCAACCGAGTGTCAGCTTATGAGATTGCGGTCTGACACATAATGCGCAGAACTATGATACGGTACACGTTCTTAGATGTTACGCCGATATTGAAAGCTGCCACACAAAGAGAAATCAAGTTATTAAGGTCCATCATGCTCGAAGCTTCGCATATACACCCGTCAACCATGTTTAGCTCTGCTGCGTTCCCATCGAGGAAGGCCAGGGCGACTCGTTCCGAACTGATGTATGCTAGAAGTAAACCGAGGTATTAAAGCCCCCAAGCGCTTTACTAAACCTTCGCTGGTAGCATTAGTCGTGCCGGAGCGATCGCTGGGTGGCATTTGCACATAAGAAGCTGCTTCTGTGGGTGTGGTATCCAGGACTGCACGTCTCAAACGTTCGACAAAAGTCAAATCTCTTGTCGATACGCTATAGAACCGGAAAGTTAGCCATGCACCAAACAGCGTAAGAGCAGTCAGTGGTATGGTGACTTGGAGCCATCGCTTCAAGGCGAGGTTCGAAAAAGAGCCATTGTCGTAACTGGCAGATTCACGGTTCTGGTCTTGGTACTTGACAATGTCGGTGCTGAAAAACGTCTGCGATTCATTAGAGGAAGCGCTCACAACGAGAGCATCGACTTACTGAGACAAAAGTAGCCGGAAGATAGATCAGAGTCAGAATAGTGATGATCCGCATGACAACGGTCTCCCGTTCGAGATTCTTGTTCAGCTGTTCCGTTCGGTCCGAGACTTGACTCTGCAGATGCTGCAATACAAGCTGCTTTCTATCGCTTATGATGTTCGCTAGAAGCTTTGCTCGGGCTAGTTGCATGTCGAAGTCCGCAGAGATCTCATTGAGCTGGGATATGAAGGCGGCAAGGTGCTCTTCACAAGACGTCTTCAGGGTATCAGGAAAGTCCTTGCGGGCAATTAAGTTTGAGTAGAACCTGCACAAGGCCCTCAGGACTTTCGCGTTAGCAGAAAGCACCATAACGACCTCGTTGGTTTTGTCGTGCCAATGTTGCAGATCTTGAATATCCCACCACTGATATTGTCTGTATGCATGATCGGGGCCGCGAAGCCCATCGACTGCCATTCCACTCTAAAAGCCGCGACGTCAGCATTAGATGAGAAAAATATGTGCGTAGGTGACACTCACTTCTTGCTCAACCACCCTTTCAAGCCAGACGAGGTACCTTCTCCAGTTCTCAGTCGACCATTGGCAGTAGAGCAGGTGAGTCGCCAGAGATGATCTAAAACAGGCTGCTGTGTCGCTATAGCTCTCATTGTCTGATTTAGCGGCGGGCCTAGTGAGTTCCTCGTAGCGGTCGCGTAGGTCCATGCTACCTTTGGTGACGATCCACAGCGTGGTCCCGAATTCCACATCGAATTGATGATGAATAGCAGCATCTCGGATGGACCATTCGTCAAGCTTGATGTTTTCGCTACTTGTTTGTTTGGGTTGTACCCCTTTCAAGTTGTAGCAGAGTTGGAAATGTTTGCCGCTTCGTCCTAGATTAGGAGCTGAATGTCCGCTGAAAGGGAGTTTGAGGCGAATTTGCTCACGAAAGCCACTGAACCGAAGATCTCTTGCATCACTCTGTGCCCCAAACACCATCATGAAGTCCAGGTACCCTGACATGACCTGATGATATGATAGGATCTGACAGAGACTGTTCCTGGTGGTTTTCAATTTGTCTCGCGAGTTCTGGCCGTAGAAGTAACTGTGTTATTAGCGTAAAGAACTCATTAGAAGAGAGCTAGAGCATACATGAATCTGCACCGTGGGTCTCGTTTTCGAGCCACAACCTGTTGTACGATGGGATTGACTGTGTCTTGCACGATCTCCACCCCGAGCCATTCCGTGACTTTACCCGGGTTATGTAAGTTCCGCTTCAAGCGTGCTGCTTCAATTAGCATTTCTTCGAACAGAGGAAGTCTTAACAAACCTTTTCCATCAGCAGTGCCTATGTCGATCACTGGAATCTCGAAAGTATCGTTAACATTATCGTGCTTATCCGTGAGACACAGATCATGCTCGACAACATCGAGAAGGCTCTTGTAAGAAGCGAGCTTGTTTTGGTTCGAGAGGATTTCGTTAGGCATGAGATTTTGTGGATAGTCGTTGCTCTTACTGTAGGACTTCTGGAATTCCACTGATGTAGCACACGCCATCTTGAAGGTCTGGAGAAGCACAGATGTGAAGACTGTTGCTAGGTGCAAATCGAGAACGCCGTAGGTTGACCATGTTTATGAGTTCAGTATGTGGATAAGATTTCCTCGAGAGGCTGACAGTGGCTGATTCGTCACGGCTGTGTGAGGTTTCAGTAGACATGAATCGCTAATTTCGTCAGGGATCACCGCCACGGCTTACTTGGGTATGCAAGCCCCTCACCGTCAGCGATACACCGCACGAGGACTTAAAAATCGACCTTGCCAATCATGCGCCATCAAGATACTGTGGTAAAACTTGCATTTGCCTTTAAGAGGCTGAATTTTGCCCCTCCTCTCGCTCGGGTGAGCTCGAGGCTCTCCGCGTTCTCTTAGGCGCATCTCTCCTGTTCCTCAGCTCTCTTCGATCGCCCTAAAGAGCTCAGCCTCCATTGCAAACAGATTAGGCAAATGCACGAAAACCACGAGACTTACCTCCGTCAGTTCCTCGGGCACCTCGAAAACCCACTTGTCGTTGAACTACATGACTGGTGAGACTAACTTCTCCAAGATAAAGACGTTACGTACCCTCTGCGGCTTAAAATCCCACTTGGACCATTTGACTCTGAGAAATTCCTCGATCTTCTCCCATGGAAAGTCGTCGTATGCTGTGTATGTTTCTTGGATACGCTCGCCTCTGCTTGCCGATGGGAGAGTAGGTCTGCGCTGAGCTTCACGCGCCTCTTTCAACGCTGGGTCGGCTGGTCGAGGGCCATGGGGCGCCATCTTGGTAGATGATGACTGAGATATAATCAGGCGCAATGGGCATGCAATGCCCACAATACAAGTCGTGCTTCTTGAAGTCGGGCGGTAGGCTGACTATTGTCGCGATGAAACTCCTGCACTGCTTTTCCTAGATCAGGCGCGAAAGGCTGAGAACCAAACTATATACGTTCCCGTGCGAGCGGCGCCAGCCTTATGGCCCCATCTCGAACGGATCTGGGGGAGATGCGGGTCACCACATCGAAGCGGGTGTCAAAGTATGTCCTGCATCACAGATGCAGGTGCTTGGGAAGTCGGCAAATCCTGGGGCTTTACGTGTCGATGTGATCACAGTGCTGCTAGGCAGCTACGCACCTGAGAGTTTGGGTCGAGTAGCCCAGCTTGCCTTCTTTTGCCTGCTTTGCCTGGTTGGTCGCTCGACTATGCCATTGGCCAGCCGCTTCAGCCACCCCATAGGTATGCATGTGCATCACACTGCATGCGTGCGCTGCCAAGAAAATAGTTCGAGATCTCGATGCTCGAGCAGAGCCGCATCGTGTGATCAGCAGCATGCTGTTCGAAGACGCCCCGGTCCACGTTCCTAGAAAGTGCGGCAATTCACAGCTGTAAAATGCCAATTCTCATCGCAGCACACGCGCTGACGTCACAGTCGTGCAGCTGTGAAGACATCATGCGTGACAGAGAACGTGAAGTATTCAGCGTCGCTTAACCCAATCTTCTCAACAATACCTAGGAAGTTACCATGTTGCAGAGCACGAGGAGATACACCCGAGAATTACGGGTGAGAGAATTGCGCAGCTCCGAAACCTGCTCAACAGCAAGCTCGCAACTTCGCGAAGTTCGTCTACCACGACAATAATTACCTCCGCCTGAGCCAGCGTTCACGCCTATACCTGCGCGGGCCCCATAGCAAATGGATCCAACTCGACTTACGCCTCCTGAATCTGGTACAGGCGGAGGAGGCAACGGCGGCGCTGCAAGTCAGAAGACCTTGACGGCAGAAGAGAAGAACCAGTGCCCATACGGCGACACACGCTGGCCTCCTGCTAATATATCGATATCCAAGCCTCTGCACTTGTTGAGCGACGAGAGTGAGGAGCCAATATATTACCACTTGATACACGAAAACATCAGCCCTCAAGTCGAGTTCTGGAAGGGTCCGGTAAAGGCTCAAGCCACTGCCGCCTACGCAGAGAAGGGCCTTGCTTTGCCAATATCCAAAGTAGGAAAGAGCAAGAAGGAGATAAAGGCCGCAAAAGAGAGAGCGCTTGAAGATGAAGCGCCGAGAGCGAAGACGGAAATCGAGCAGGCTAGGGATACGAAGATGCTGAAAGAGTTGAGCAGTGGACCGAGGGGAACACTCTGGCAGCTTGACGAAGAGCACCTGCACGTTTGGAGATGTATCGAAGTGGTCCAGAAGGTGCATGGGGCGGTGAGCCTTAGTGCCGAGCGGCGGGAAATATTTTCGATGTTCGGTGTTGGCCTCAAGCGCATCGATGGTGATATGTTGATGGTCAGCCAGAAGGCGTAAGCAGCCAGCTCACCCGGACGGGTCGGGTGTAGTAGGATCAATATACACAACGCTCATCCCCGATAATTGAGTTCTTCGCAAAACCTTGGTGCACCTGCAGATTAGCAGAAATCTCAGGCGCTGACAAACGTGAAACGTGAGGCTGGCGATGGAGTTATGGATCGAAAGCCGAGGCTAGCTTGCGGATGTGGTCATAGCGCCTTCTCGATGATTCCAATCGTCGAGCGACCCAAATTTTTAGAGGCATCGAACATCTGCGACCACTCTTCTCCGCATCCTCCTCTTCATCCGCACTATTCCTGGTTATATTGCATAAAGCTGGAGTCTAGGAGCAACATTTGAGATTCCTTTTTCTCTACCTACACATCCCAATTCCGTCACAATGCAAAGAGCTTTCGCATCGCGGGCGCGGACTTCGGCCCTCAACTCGAGCTCCAAGCTCCGGTCCACCAGCTACAACCTCCAGCAGCAGAGGTTTGCGCACAAGGTATGCCAATCGCACACTTACATCGTCAAAAAAGACGCAACACTAACAATTAGAAGGAACTGAAGTTCGGCGTCGAGGCACGAGCAGGACTGCTGAAGGGTGTCGACACACTTGCAAAGGCCGTATCAACAACATTGGGTCCTAAGGGTCGCAATGTATTGATCGAGTCGAGCTACGGCTCGCCCAAGATCACCAAGGGTACGCACGAGTTCCGCCGCCATCCTTAACATTGCCCGCTGACATCATTCCAGATGGTGTGACAGTCGCAAAGGCTATTTCCCTCCAAGACAAGTTCGAGAACCTCGGAGCCCGTCTGCTCCAGGACGTCGCCTCCAAGACCAACGAGGCTGCCGGTGACGGTACCACCACTGCCACCGTCCTTGCCCGCGCCATCTTCTCCGAGACCGTTAAGAACGTTGCCGCCGGATGCAACCCCATGGACCTGAGGCGGGGTACCCAGGCCGCTGTCGAGGCCGTCGTTGAGTACCTCAGGGCGAACAAGCGGGACATCACCACCAGCGAGGAGATCGCGCAGGTTGCCACCATCTCTGCCAACGGCGACACACACATTGGCAAGCTTCTGTCCAACGCTATGGAGAAGGTCGGAAAAGAGGGTGTCATCACCGTCAAGGAAGGCAAGACCACCGAGGACGAGCTTGAGGTTACCGAGGGTATGAAGTTCGACCGCGGATACATCTCCCCCTACTTCATCACCGACACCAAGACCGCCAAGGTTGAGTTTGAGAAGCCCCTCATCCTCCTCTCCGAGAAGAAGATCTCCGCTGTCCAGGACATTGTCCCTGCTCTCGAGGCCTCCCAGCAGCTCCGCCGTCCCCTTGTCATCATTGCTGAGGACATTGACGGTGAGGCGCTTGCCGTCTGCATTCTCAACAAGCTCCGTGGCCAGCTCCAGGTTGCCGCTGTCAAGGCTCCTGGCTTCGGTGACAACCGCAAGTCCATCCTTGGCGATCTCGCTGTCCTGACCAACGGTACCGTCTTCAGCGACGACCTCGACATCAAGCTCGAGAAGGCCACTCCCGACATGCTCGGTTCCACCGGATCCATCACCATCACCAAGGAGGACACCGTCATCCTTAACGGCGAGGGCAGCAAGGACCAGGTCTCCCAGCGCTGTGAGCAGATCCGTGGCGTCATCAACGACGCTACCACCTCCGAGTACGAGAAGGAGAAGCTCCAGGAGCGCCTGGCCAAGCTCTCTGGTGGTGTTGCCGTCATCAAGGTCGGTGGCTCCTCCGAGGTTGAGGTTGGTGAGAAGAAGGACCGCATCGTCGACGCTCTGAACGCTACCCGCGCCGCCGTTGAAGAGGGTATCCTGCCCGGTGGTGGTACTGGTCTCCTCAAGGCCTCCGCCAACGCCCTCGGTAACGTCAAGGCTGCCAACTTCGACCAGCAGCTCGGTATCACCATTGTCAAGAACGCCATTACCCACCCCGCCCGCAAGATCGTCGAGAACGCTGGCGCTGAGGGCTCCGTCATCGTTGGCAAGCTCATCGACGAGTACAAGGGTGACTTCAACAAGGGTTTCAACAGCGCCAAGGGCGAGTACGTTGACATGATTGCTGCCGGTATCCTTGACCCCTTCAAGGTTGTCCGCACTGCTCTTGTTGACGCCAGCGGTGTTGCCTCGCTTCTCGGAACTACCGAGGTCGCTATTGTCGAGGCACCCGAGGAGAAGTCTGGACCTCCAGGCGGCATGCCTGGCGGAATGGGTGGTATGGGAGGCATGGGCGGAATGGGCTTCTAAACACCTGAAGTCTAGCCGTCTGTTTTCTTCTTCTTATACCCCCATTCCGTTATAATGACTTTAGTCTTATGCCTTTCCCAGCGATGATTTATGTACACGATATTGGGTTGGTCTCCGCTCTTCACTCATGATTTCTCAAAAGCGCAGCATTGTTGGATATTTGGTTTTTATTGTACAAGATTGTGTAAGGATCTCCTGGGAAGGACAAGATGTATAAAGCGACGAAGGAAATATGAACAAGTTCAAACGAGTTCTCGAGATGCACAACATATGCTTGAGTTATGAATGCTGCAAGGAATAGGATTGGTGGATCACCGCATACACGAAAAAAACCGAACACCTGCCTCCTAGAAGTCTACGTGACCTTGAAGAATACGTGAATGCTGACCCTTGTACTAACATACACAGCAGAGTACCTGTTCAGCCTGCTCCCTGTATGAGGTGGGATGCTGTGACGACTGACAGGGCGTTGCTGTGGCGGCAGAGCCAAACTAAACCTTGTAACGTGTCTGGTATCGTGCCGTGCTCCAGGGCTTGAAGGAACCCCACTAGGGTACGTGCATCGAGAAAACCCCACCCCACCTGCCACTACTCGCTCAGCCTCAGCAATCACACTCTCCTCCTCCGCCTTTTCTCCCGCAAACACATCAACTATCCACCCAGATCAGTTTTCTCTATTGACGTAAGCTGCCACCGCTGCATGCCGAACAGGCTGCCATTCCTTCACTGCTGCATCTTCGCACGCGGCAATCGCAACGATGACGACGACGCTGACAGGCAACCACAGTACTGATAAAGCTACCTGGCGCCTCGACCCCCCTCTAGCATCCTCTACTTTACACATCCGACATTATGGTGAGAACATTTGAGATGCGTTATTGAGGAACTCGAACTAACAACGGATACAGGCTCAATCCGGGTACGTACTGCAAAACAAACAACAGGGCATCAACAACTGTCGCTGCCCGACGACCGCGCCCGCATAGCTCCCCCTGCCTCCACCACCACCCCGACACCCGTCTCGCGCACCCCTCTATCGCCCCCGCACGTACTGACCAAGACGCAGTGTCTCCGTCTCGCCCGAGTGCATCAGCACCTTCAACGAGCTTAAGCTTGGCAAGGACATCAAATGGATTATCTACAAGATCAGCGACGACTGGAAAGAGATTGTCGTCGAGGAGACTTCCAAGGAGGCCAACTTTGACGTCTTCCGCGAGAAG